GGCAGAGCCATTGGAGAGGAGGCTCCACGGCGGCTGGCACCTTGGCCCCGTCCCACCCCTCCCGTGGGCCCAGTGGCACTAGGACCCCCCAGGGCCACCCTCGGCCCGGCTGTCCCTATTCGGAGGGTGCCGTCACCGCCCCCCCCCCTGGAGCTGGACTGGGCTGTTTAAAAATAGCCGTGTCAGAGATGGCTGCGCAGTGCCGCTCCGACACGCGCTTCCACCATGTCCACGGCACCAACGTCCGCATCGACCCCTCGCACACCCAGGCCACGCGGGTGGAGAGCTTTGCCAACGGGCTGTGCTTCAGCCAGGAGCCCCTGGAGCCCGGGCAGATCTTCCTGGTGGAGATAGAGGAGAAGGAGCTGGGCTGGTGTGGGCACCTGCGCATCGGGCTGACAGCCCATGACCCGCAGAGCCTGGAGGTAGTGCCCGAATACTCGCTCCCGGACCTGGTCAACCTGGGAGACACCTGGGTGTTTGCCATCACCAGGAACCACAACCGCATCGCCCTGGACGGGGAGGAGGCGCGGGCGCCGGCCCGCGTGCAGGGCTTCCTCTCGGAGCCCTACCTGCTCATAGAGCAGGTGAGGATCCCCCGCGACAAGCTGGTGGGACGCAGCAGGCCCGGGCGCTACAGCCACATCCTGGATGACCTGTACAAGATGAACGTGCTGCCCCCGACTGCCCGGCGGAGCAGGATTGGTGTACTCTACACCCCGCAGCCCAACGGCACCGCGGACATGCACATCGTTATCAACGGAGAGGACATGGGGCCGAGCGCCAGGGGCCTCCCCACCGCCCGCCCGCTCTACGCTGTGGTTGACGTCTTTGCTTCCACCAAGAGCGTCCGTGTCATCCAGGTGGAATATGGCTGTAGGTACCTGCTTCTCCCCAGGAGCCACCCAGCAGAGGCAGGTGGGGGCGGGTGGGTCAGCCCTGGTGAGGTTAACCCCATGGTCGCTGGCAGCAGGAGGTCCAAAAAAGGGGCAGGGGGGAGGGGGCAGAGGGGAGAGCGCTGCCAGTGCCTGCAGAGCACAGGTGAGTCCCTAGACCAGCACTCACACAAGCCCTGGGCATGGGTCTCCCAAAAACCCTGCCTCTCCAGGCTGTGTCCGGGGCTGGAGACGCAGCAGCCGGCTCCAGCACGTCCCACCCAGGTGCTCACAGACAGGTCCCGGCACTGGTGGTCAGGGCAGAGCCCAGCCTGGACTCCCCTCTGCAAGAGCTGCAAGCGCTCTGGGCTGCCAGGGGCCTGCTCCAGACTGGGGTGTGCAGGATTGTCCCTGTGAAGCTGTGTCCCAGCAGGACTTTGCTCATGCTGAGGCAGACAAAAGCTCCTAACTGGAGCTCAAAGCCAGCCGCTCCCCAGAGGCCCAGGGAACCGGTTCTCGGCGCCTGGCAAACACTGCCCATGCCCCAACCTTGCCCCTGTGCACCGCTGGCGCGAGGCAGCCTGAGCCAAGTGTCATCCTGCCTTAGCATCAAAACATCCTGCTGCACCCTGACACGGCACCCCGGCACGCTGTCCTTCCTGCTGTCCCGCCCCTGCATCCTGGGGCTCACGCCTCTGCACCCCAACCTTGCCTTGTCCCCTTGCCTCCCTGCGCCCCAGCCTGCATGGCCCTGGGCAGAGCTGGGTGCCGAGCTGGCACCGTGCGATGCCAGCTGCGGTTGGGCAATATCCCGGCGTTCCTCGCGGCACCCGGTGAAGCTGTCTCCAGGTAGGGTGGGGATGGCACCAGGCAGCTCCATCTGGTGATAGTCACTGGCTCTTGCAAGCAGTCAGGCTACTAGGTGCTAAGCATTAGATGCTTACCATCAGATGCTAAGCATTAAATGAGACATGAACCAGGAGGGCTAGCGCCTGGACGACAGTGGCTGGGACCATAAGCTGTCACACTAATATGCTACCTTTGTCTTACATGAGCCAGAGATAATTAACTATCTGCATCATAGGTGCAAGGCCACAGACAAAGACCTAAATAAAACACGAGCAAAGAGCAGACTGACTTCTCAACACAGGAAAAGCCACCATTTCTTTCACTGGTTTAAAGTTCAATTGTTTCTACCGCAAGGCTGAAATCTGGGGTTCTCCCCACTAGCTGTTTTGTCCTGTGATAATCCAAGCAGTGAGATTAAATGTGCCCAGCTGTGCAGGCTGTTCTGCCCTGGGAATGCGTTTAAGGATGACTAACTTTGGAACATGCCACTGGGAAGCTACTGAACCGCCTCTGCGGGCCCTGACCTCAACAGTTCACTGAGGGACTTCACAGGGAGCAGCCTGTCACGGCTGCTCCGGGTGGAACGTACCTTTTTGTGGAAGATCTGCATCCAGTGCTCCTCACCCCTCCTAGGGCCCGCACGTCCGGGGGCGGCGACAGGCCCGGGCGGGCGCTGCAAGGTCCTCAGCTGGTACAGACGCCGCCTGCTGCAAGAGGGACAATCTGGCCTCCTTCCCTTGACAAAGACTTCAGTAGTTCCTGTTTCTGCAACACTTCTTTAATCTTTAAAAATCAGTTTTAGTGCGGTTCTTTTATTGGCCAGGAGCCGGCTAGCAGAATGAAAATGAGAAGGAAGCAGCTGAGCTGCCAGCGGCATGTGATACTCCGCAAGGGAGTCTCGGGGGAGAGGGCAGAAAGCTGTTGAGGCAAAGAGCACCCGTCACCTCTCCCTGAGCGCTCGGGGCACGCACAGCCCTGCTGCGCCTCCAGCGTGAAGATAACCGCTCCAGCTATCTGAAAACAGTCCCAAGGTCAGGAGACGGCTCTGCAGAGCACGTGTTTGTGCTTAGCAGAGCTCTGCTCTTGCCTCCCGCTGGCCCGAGCTCCCGGGAGGCACCAGCGCCTGCAGCTCTGAAAGCTTCTCGGCCACCTAACAATGAAACGGCCGGATCACCACGCGGCTCCCCTCTGGCCTAGCATGACACTCTAGGACACGCTCGTCCTGTTTGGCTCTTACGTGGCAGTGGATTAACAAAGACCCACAGGCAACGAGTCAGCTCTCATTTAAAATCTGAGAAAACAGCTAGGCACAGCTAGTCCACATCTGTTAGCTGCTGAGAGCTCCAAAGATCTAATGAAAGAGGAATCTGACAGGAGTGATTGTGTCATAGGAGGAAACGGGGGCAGAGTTTGCAGTAATAAAAGATAGTTATTGTAAAAGCATCATGTGAGTTGTCTCTCTAGGCAAAACAGCCCCAGTCTGCTGAAGTCTAGCATGCAGTTTGGCATATTTGTGGTGGAAGGACACCCAAAGGGAGCAGGGGATGAAGGGAAAATGAAGTCTTGCAGGGAGAACGCAGTGTGGGAACGTGAGACTCTAGGGATGGCCTTGTCAGCCCAGAGAGAAGATGAATGCAAAACATCCATGATAATGCACTATTTAGGCACATAACTGTTCTCCCAGCCTTCCTCCGAGCAAAGGGAAGAGCTTCACTATTCAGCCCTCAAGCTTTCAACCTAGCTGGAGCGCCCCGGCATAGGTTCTTCAATCAGGACAGCCCTCCAGCAGAGCAGCTGGTAGAGCAGGGGAGGAGGAGTGATTCCTGCTCCTTCCTCAGAGCAAACTCACCCACCACTGTCTGAAAACAAGGTGCCTCCAAGGAGCCTCAGTCCCAGGCACCATTCTCTGCCCTCAGCCTCGCTGGTGACTCAGACAGCAAGGTCAGCTTCCTCTTTGTGCTCTCTTTCAGTTCCCTCCTTGCAGACCCTCTGCCGGCTGGTCATCCAGAAGCACGTTGTCCATCGCCTGGCCATCGATGGCCTGGACCTGCCCCCGCTGCTGAAGAATTTCTGCAAATACGAGTGAGGCGGTGAGGATACCTTCTCCCGCTGGCAGGCTCTGCACCCCGAGAGCCCCACAGACGATCGCAAACAGGCTGGCAGGCGAGGGCTGGCATGCCCAGACGGCCCTTCCACCCACCACCCCGCGAGGCCCCAGGAGCAGACGTGCTCCCCTCCACGCCGACTCCTCTCTGGGGTGTCTGCCCGTCCATAGCCCTGCCATAGGAGGCCCAGCCTGAAGGACGAGGCCTGAAAGCACGGACAATCCACGTTAAGAGTAGAGTGCGTTGCAGGGACTTTCCTGTGTATAAATGGATATGGTAGGACTCATGCATGGTCAGGAGAGTATCACGGAAAAGAGAGTAATAAAGTGCTTCTAACCAGAAACTGAGCAAGTTGTGGGGAGTATTGGCGCATCTGCTGCCGAGCAGAGGCGAGGGAGCGAGGTGGTCCCTCTCCAGCACCCGCTGCTATCAGAGCTGTGCTGACTACAGGTGCTGCCTGCAGCGGGAGGCTCTGTGCACCCTGCTCTTGCTGACGCCAAAGGAACCGGCTGCTGGGAGCCGGGTCCTTTAAGACAAGACACAGCGAGACTTACAGAACCACAGCAGCAAAGAGATCCAGCGCAACTGCGGATCTCATCCACCCTGGCCTGCTGGCCAGGATCGTGCTTGCTTTCGGGGGGCTGGGCCGAGCTCCCGCCGGTGCCAAGGTCGGTGCCGCAGACATTAATCCAGTGTGAGGTCAAGCGGGGGCCTGTGATGACGGTTCTAGAAGGGGCGACATCAGCATGGCGCTGGGAGCTGATGATCTGCCCCAATCCAGCATGGACAATGTCCCAATGGGGGAAGGAAGAAGCTGTTTCAGGGTTTTTAGTCCCTAGCCAAGGTAACTGCTTTTCCTTCCACATCAGAGGCATTTTGTACAGAGACAGAAGAGCTGCAGAAAGGTACTTCAGGGAATTACCTCTGAGTAACATGGCGAGTTTCCCATCAAGTAGGAGGCTTAGGAGCACAGGGCGGCTGGGACTCCCCTGTACGGCAACCATCTCCTCTCAGGAGCAAGTAGGACTGCTTCCAGTAAGGAACGGAAGCCGGAGCGGTGTGCCTCGTAACCACACCACCAAACCTGCCTTGTCTCAAGACCTCTCCCTGGCCCAGGCACAAAGTCGTAATGTCTTGGCCTATCTGAGCTGCAGGGCAAGTCACAGCGTGGTCGGTGCGCGTAGCTGAGCACAGCCCGCTTGTCGGCACGGCTGGGAGGCAGCTCACCCCCCTCGGCCTGCTGCCCCTGGAGATAACGTTCCTGATAGCACGGAGCCATGGGACAGTGACCTGTGGTAGAAAGACCTAAGTTTTCAGGGCCTTTCCTATTTAACCCTTTGAGAAACACCCCCACTGACGCTCTCCATACTCAGGTACCGTTTCCTGGTGCTTTAAGCAGCTCTCAGCCCCTTAAGAAGCGGAGGTGAGGCATGAGACAAACTGGCCTCAGCCCAGATTCCTTTCCCTCAGCTGGAAATAAATAGCCTGCAGCGTGAAAAAGGGTAGACTTTGAGGAAGTGCAAGTCTTGCCTTGACTGGCAAGCAGTCTGCAGGCACAAACAAAGCCCAAGGGGCTCAGAAAAAGCCCTAAGAAGCTGGGATTGCAGTGTGGCATTCCCGTCCCCTGCTCACGTGCAGCTCTGACCGCAGCCCGCGCTGCTCTACGCTCAGAGGGCAGGGCGAGGTGGGGCGCGGGCGGGCAAAGTCTCCTGAGCGCTGCCAAAGGAATGTAAATTACAGCTGGGCCCTCATCCCAGCTGTGTAGTTTCACTCTTAGGAAAGATGTTTACTTGAAGAATTGGGATGACTTATTTCCTGTGTTTGCAATGGAAAGGTGAAAGGGATGGATGCTACAGTAAAATATGCCAGCGTCCAGGGATCAGCTCTGGCCAAAACTATTCCTCATGGCCGTAAAGTGGTCACAGTGACCTGGTCAGGGGTCCAGCTATCCAGCCTCTCGCCTCCAACAGCGACTGGTACTGGATGCCTCGGGAAGAGGGCCAGACCGGGGCAAGACTGCACAAACAGTCCCCTGATACACCCTTCCTGCCTCCTTCCTCCACGCTGGACATGGCAACGCAGGTTTTCGTAACCCAGGACCCAGCTTCGCATGCAACACACTGCTGATTCACACACAAAGGCGGTGCAGAGGGCTGCGGGGAAGTAGGGCCGGTCCCTTGGAGCAGGAGCAGGCAGGGGGGCCACGCGAGACCTGCCTGCACCTTGAGAGCGAGGGAGGGAACGGCTGCAGCGCTCTCTGTCCG